AAAAAAGAAAGAAACAGCACACTCTCAAACAACAAACCAAATCCACACTCACTCGAAGGCAGCTCACCAATTATAATCAGATAAATGATCAATGCCCCAAGGTTTGTAATGAAAACACAGACTTGAAGCCCGATGGACCCAAAATTCCCGAACGACTCCTCTATCAGCCCTCCGTACGTATCTGACTCCCCCGAGCGAGTGTAGTTAAGCAAGAACTCCATTTTTCACCTCTTTCTTTCCTCAAACACTTCATTTTTTAGCAATATATAATCACCCACATTTCAGCCTAAACATCACCTAACAATTCAGAATTTAAAGAGCAACAAACCATGGATCAAAATCAACACCAACGTGCCTCTTTTCAAACCAAAATTTCTCAAACTTAAAACAACAGTTAGAGGCTAACAGGGCTGAACCTAACCTTTGAAATATCCACAAAAGTTCAGCATTTATATACACGAAAAAGCCACAGAAAGAATACAAAAGATAATATATAACACCTCAATACATGCTCTCTTTTGCTTATTCTTTTTCTCAAAATCAACACAACTATGTTAAGGCTCAAACTACTGATACTAACTTGTTTGAACACACATATACTTAACATACCAATATGTGTGCATGCCGGAAGAACATGGAAATAAATAAGGAATAAGATCAATACAAACATGCTTCAAATTTCTCTTTTCTCTACATATGCTCCACTAAAATTTTAAGGCCTTACGACCGAATCCAAAAGCTATAAAATCTACTCCAATCAGCATGTAAAAATTCAGCCATACATCGCATAAGGAGGCTCAGCAATTAAGGTACAAAATGTGGTAAAAATAACACACAAAACAACTCCAACTTTTTCAAATTTCCAACTAAGGTTAAGCATGCTCTTTGTCTCTTTAAAACTGAATTTATACTCTTGTTTTGGCCATTCAAAGGGTAATATAAACTCAGCCATATACCTCACTTTGGTCCTTAAAAAAAATGGAAGGATAAGAGGCTCGGTTGGCCACGAGTGTGAAAATGGCTTGATCCTTCGCTGAAAATGGCGTGTTCGGCTTGCTTGGGCTGAAAAGCTCGTCTCAAGGCCGTGAAGGTGGCTCACAACCCCTGTTCTCAATTGGTTTCTCGTCCTCCTCTGTCTCAGGACGCAGTATGTGGCTCGCGAGAAATCTGTCCGCGTGAGGGCTGCGGGGTGGCGCGCGGCCTCCTCGGGTGATGCTGCCGTAAAGGAAAAGCTGAAACTTTTTGAAAGGTGTTTAAATGGTATTTTCAAACCAGGTGTAAGGTGAGTGAAGGGGCCTGATAGGATTCTTAAGGCACATGGATATTATTTGAAGACTTGGTTTTAAGGCCATTTAAAATTCTAGATAGCTAAGGCGTGCCTCATTGAAAATTCACTAGGGAGTAAAAAAGATCATGCAATTGCAAAGACCTGAAAATACATTTGGATATTATTTTACCCTACAATCAACTCTAGCTTTATCAAGGCACACCACAGCACAAACAATCCCTCATATCAAACCAAGAAACAATGGAACACTACACAAAGGATAATCCTTCCTTCATTCACCCACACAAATTCTCGTAAACCAACTGTGCACTCAAAAGATCCACCACGGCCGACCCAACAGATTTAAACACGGTGATCTCGCCTAAATCCCTCCTCCCTTGTACATCCCCCTTAATCAACCCTACCAAATCACCCACAATCACATCTCTCCCAATCACACCCCTTTCAAAAGCACCCACCAGTTCTCCCGCCTCCTCCACCGCCCCCTCGTTATCCACATACACTCTCCCCCGAGCGATTGCCGCGTCATCGCATTCCCTCATGGACGGTGTGAACGACCCCACCAGATCCAGGTGGGCCCCACTCCTCAAATCCACGCCCCTCACCAAAGGGGTTTTCGAATTTGTGGCACAGCAAATTATGTCCGCCGTCCTTACGGCCTCGTCCAGGCACCCGCTGCAGCACTCGAAACTCACCTCCCCCTGGAGGGCAATATCATCATTTCTCAACTGGATGACTAATTTTTGTGCTTTCTCGATTGTCCTGTTCCACACCACCACGCGCTTGATTTTGGGCCTGACAGATAAATGAGCTTTGATGAGGTGGGGCGCCAACTGGCCAGCTCCGACCATCACCAGCGTGTTCGAGTCCTCCCGGGAGAGGTGGGACGAGGCGAGGGCCGAGACGCAGGCCGTGCGGTAGAGGGTCAAATCGGTAGCATCCATGGTGGCCAGCGGGCGGCCGGTGGCGGAGCAGAAGAGGACATAGACCGCGTGAACCCCTGGCATGCTTAGGGAGGAGTTGGCGGGGTGGTGGGTGACCAGCTTGGTGCCGATGTACGGAAGGGAGGGGGAGGAGGACCAGGAGGGCATGAGGAGGAGGGAGGAATTGGGGCTGGTCTGGTGGGCGTGGCGGAGGGGGGAGTGGACGGCGGCGGAGAGATGGGGGAGGGTGGAACGGAGGTGGCGGATGAGGGATTCGTGGGTGATGAGGGAGTGGATCGTGGTGGTGGAGATCAACACTGGCGGAGGGGGCGTAGCGGTAGCCATGTCTCTGATGTCTGGGGGCGTGGAAATTATTAACGAAAAATTCAAAGTTAAATCCCTAATGCTGCTACTTTTAAATTCGTCCCCACCTCTTTTTTATTTCATCTTCACTCCCTAAATCTAATTTCTCTTTTCAAATCACTCCCCTTATACATACTGAATCATTTATTTATTTTTTTTTCATTGATTTATTTTTAACAAAAAATAAGTGGACAAAAAAAATAAAATAAAATGAAGTGGTAAAAATTCAAACAGCCGGATTCTTAGAATCCGTGTTTTAGGGAAACATGGATTCCCGGAATCCGTTTTTTCATAATTTTGCACAAAAATCAGATTTTCAGAACACGTCTTTCTTCAATGACGTGTTAGCCCTAATTAATTCAACCAAAAAGGGATTCTGTAAATTCGTTTTTATTTATTTATTTATTTTTATATTTATACGTAAAACGGATTCTGAGAATCCGTTTTACAAATCTAATTAATTATAAAACAGATTCTCAGAATCTGTTTTACAAAAAAAAAAAATAATAAAAAAAAAATAGTAGAAGGACCCCAGATTTGAGATTCAAACCCGGGTGGGCGAGTCCGTTTTCTCCAGGCACACCTCCTACCATTAGGCTGCTAGGCTATCGCGTTTATTTTTGCGTAAATTTTATTCTTATACTTCAATATCAATATTTTTTTATAGTATATAGTTTTTTTAATATATAGTATATACATATATATTATAATTTACCATAGTATATACGTATTATATAATACCATATAGTATATAATATAATATAGAGTATATAGTATATATATTACTAGTACGAATCTCGTGCGATGCACGGGTAAGAAATATTCGTTAATATTTATAAATTAAAAATGTTCATTAAATAATATATATAAATTAAAAATATATAATCAATATGTAATATAATTTACGTATATTAATTTATTAAAAATGCTATATAAAATTTAAATTGTGCAAAATTAAATAAAATATGTCTATATAAATTAGTACACAACCCGTACGACGCACGTAACTGATAATAAATTACATAATATACATATCAAAATAAATGTCGTTTAGAATTTGTATTCAGAAATTCGATTGGACTACAATGTGATTTCATAAAATAATTATTTTGATAAAATTTTATCATATATTTAAAAATCTATGTGAATAATAAGTATAGTTATAAAACTTATATTGTTTCATTAATTAGAATGAATTTATTTTTGGATAAACTATCCAAATTAAAAGAAATTAAGTTGTTGAGTAGTTTATTAAACTATAAATAATTGACTATTTCATTTACGTCCAAGTTAATATTGATCCATAAGTTACAAATAATTACTTATTTAACTTTAGGCTAACTTTTAATTTAAATTAAAATTAAATAATAAATTTAATTTTGTTTCTTTGCAAAATAACAAATTTATTTACTAATAATTTAAAAATAATTATTCCTTAGAAGTGAGTACTGATTTCTTACATCACTAAAAATAAATGTAAAATAGATTCTATAGAAGTATAATAACTACTACGAATCCCGTGCGATGCACGGGTAAAAAATATTCATTAATATTTATAAATTACAAATGCTCATTAAATAATATTTATAAATTAGATATATGGAATCAATATGTAATACAAATTACCTTTATTAATTTGTTGAAAATGTTATATGAAAATTAAATGGTGCAAAATTACATAAAAACGTGTATTTAAAATTAGTACACTGGTATGGTGCAAGTATCTGATAATAAATTACATTATATTCATTTAAAAAATAAATGTCATTTTAAATTTTGTATTCAAAAATTTGATTTGACTACAATGTGATTTAAGTAAAAACAAACCTTTATATGTATACACACACACACACACACACCATAATTTGATATGTTCCACACACATTTATAAAGAAGAATCAACCATAATTTGATTTTATCAAAATTTTTCTTTCATTAATATCGAGTAAAATGCTTAGAAATATGAAAAAAAAAATATTGAGATACCATTTATTACCATAAGCAGGTATATTGGATCAATATATAGTATACCATATAATTCGATTTCATAAATTATCGATAAAATACAAAAAATAATATTCAGTTTAACCACTAAATTAATTGCCCAACGTACAAAACAAAATCAATGTTTATTATAGATAAAAATAAAAAAAAAGACCCAAAAATAGTTATTAAAAAATAATTAAGTATAAACTGCCATTAACACAATTATTTTAAAATAATTTTATAAGAAATTATAATTGAATAAATTAGCCGAACTTATACGATCTGCGTAATTAGGGTATCTTAAAAATATAAATTTTTATTGTCTAATTATTTCCTTAATTATCCACGATTTGAGCAATTAAATACACAAAAATAGAATAACAATTATTAAATAATATATAAATAAAAATTGTCATTAACACAATTTTTATAGAACAACTTTTGCAAACTGCATAATTAATTATTGTTGTCGATATTTCCATAAATGTAGTAATTATTTTACAGATTGAATAATCAGTCGAATTTACACAATTTGCGTAATTAAGGTATATTAAAAATGTATTTCACAAAAGAATTACACAAAAAATATAAAACACTTATTAGATAATAATTATACAATTTAGTTGGATTTTTTTTTTTTACCATAACACATAATTAATATTGCATCCGAAATTTTCATATTTGGGTAAATCAGCCAATTCACATGATTTTGAGTAATTAATGTATCTTAAATAACAATTTACCATAATTGATTATTTGAAATATATCATAAATTGTTAAATTAATTTGAGTAATTAAGGTATCTTAAAAAAGAATATTTATATGGCTTAATTATTTTCTTAAATAATTAGCCACAATTTTCATAAGTAATTATTTGAAATATAGCATAAATTGTTAAATTAATTTCCCAAAATAGTAGATAGTATTTTTTGGAGGGAAATAGTTACTATTTTAAAAATAATCAAACCTTTATATATATATATATATATATATATATATATATATATATATATAACATACATCAGATTACTACCATTTATAGTAGATAATTAATGTTTTTGGCGGGAATTCTATCTAAAAGTGAATTAAGCTTATTCTTATTTAATAGATCTAAATATAGATAATTATTTATAACATGATCTATAATTTACACCTTATATCCCAGAAGAATATATTTTTCAATTAAATGAATTAATGTATCTGCAACGAAATAAATCGAATTCCGAAATAAGCAAAAGAAGCTAGGAATAAACAGTCCGTTGGAAAAAATTTTTATTGTATGAAACATTGTTTTTTATGAATTGAATATTTATTTTTATTATAGTAATAAAGGTTATGATATCTTTAGAATGCAAATTATATTATCTAGGGAAATCATATATTCACTACAGGAAGAATCCATAAACATTGAAATGTTAATGTATTCTAGTTTTAGCTTCTTCTTTCTTTTTTTTTTTTTATTCTTTATCTTTATTAATATTGGTTATTTATGAGATGTAGGTGAATTGTAAATTATAATTTAATAATATTCATTAAGTACTCTAATTCTTTTGGTTCCGAATAGATACTTGGTTTTTAAAATTTAAATTTCTCATCCTATTCATATCTTAAGAACAAACAATAATTATTTCAATAAAAACACATATTTATTAATTTAGTACTTTTGTAACTTATTTATTAAAACAATTATTTTTTAACTGAACCGTACTTGATTGTGGTAAATTAGTCATATAAATTTTTTTAATTTATGAAATATTGGAAGCAGATAAATCTAATGCATCCTGAAAATCCCCTACCAAAAAAACTGCATCGTTGATAAGCATATAATCATCTAATTAGTCCACATGTAGAGGGTAATCAAATCATATAAAAAAAAAAAACACCAAATATTTAGGCTACTTTTGTGGGCTATATATATGCGCCGGAACAAAACATATGAACTCAAAACATATGAACATAACATATGGAAACTTTATTTTCAAAATCTCAATCCAGATTTTGAATCCTCAAAAATGAACTAAAATCCACAATTTAGGGAAGCAATTAATGTCTGAGAATTTGTTTGAAGAAAAATAAAGTAAAAAATAAAAAAAGTTACTATTAGTGGATTGCAATTAATGTTGTCCTAAAATTTATTGTTACAATTTTTGGTAAATGGTACTTCCTCCATTTTGAAATATAAGGCGTTTAAAGTTTTTGCACAAATATTAAGGAGACATTAATTAATAAGTAAATTGACTAAACTAACCTTATTTATTGAAAATCACTATGTATTTATTGTTATGGTTGAAGCTATAAATGAGGGTATATTTGGCAAAAAGGAATAATTTGCCTTGATTTTGATGTGCGCCTTATATTTAAAAAATTTAAGAATTCCTTATATTCCTTATATTTCAAAATGGAGGGAGTAATTCTTTTTATATAGATATAGATTGGTTGAAGTACTTTGGAAGTTTAATTATTAGATTTAGATCAATTATTGATATCATATTAACTAAAATAAAAATAAAATCTCACTATGGGTGGTAAAAGAAAAAATTAACAAAAGGAAATAGAAAAATAAAAATAAAAAAGGAGGTTTAAAAAACTTTTCTTATTAAGTAACTAATATTTTTTATTTTTTGGGTGTGAAACTATTACTTTTATAGCAATTAGAAATATTTTTATATGTATATAGATTATCCAAATCAATCCGAGTTTTTGTTAATTAGAAAATAATTTTATATTAAATGATGCCACTCTCTAAAAATTTAATATTAAATAATATTTATAAATTTTGAATCTTTCTAATTGTGCTTTGTAAATGAAGACTCATTGTTAATTAATAGCAAATAAAATACTTTCTTTTAATTGATAAGTGTCTTGGGGTAACATGACCCATTTTAATCCAAACAACAATTTCACCCTATCTTTTAAATTGTATATGATGTTTCTGACATAATTTTTTAATTAAACAAATTTTAATTTCAAAATATCATTTTATATATTTGACTTCG